TTCCCTGTAGTTATGACTTCTGGAGTCTAGCCCATGACTGCAAAGCCACCAGCGGGGTCTCCAGTGAGACTGACGTTGAGCTTGTAGGACGTGGCGCTGGCAGCTGGCAGGGACACAGGAGGCCTGCACGGGCCGACCACTTTCCTACCGGGGGATGGGCACAGGCACCACCAACCACAGGTGGAACCCGGACATGGTTGTGTCTCCCCTCACCTGCCTCCCACCATTTCCACCCAGGCAGGGTGCTGCTTGGGGCCCATGGCCAGTTCAGACCCACACACTGGGGTCCCCACATGGCCCTTCACAAGGCCCTTGCCTGGTGTGGCCTCACGGGTTGAGTTTCCAGGTGTCTGTCTATTGGCAGAACGTCCTGGGTGACCCCCAGCCCTTTCCTGCCAGGTCAGCCCCGGACCACCCCAGAGTGGAGCCTGCTTGGTGGGCGAGGTGGGCCCCAGCCTCGGAGTCTCATGCACTTTTCGGATCTTGCTTTGTAGTGGTGACGCTTTCATCTCCAATTCAAGAAGTTACTTTCCACAGTGCCAGGCTCTGCTGAATAAAATCACATCCGTGAACCCTCAGACGGATATCGACGGGCTGCGGAACATCTGGATTATAAAGCCTGCGGCCAAGTCCCGGGGCCGAGGTGAGTTCGCTGGTGTGGGTGCCACCTGGACCGCATTCGCAGCTACTGATGGCCGCACTTGATGCCAGCTGCCATGAGCAAGGGACAGTCTCAGGCCCACGCACCACAGGGAAGGAAGTGTGGGGGCAGAATGCCGAGGCAGCATGGGGCTCGGGCTCACGGGCACTGGAGCAGTCTTGGACGAGGAGGCGTCTTCACAGCTTGTGTTCAATTCACAAGGCTGGGTTCTGGTGGACGAATTAGGTTCCCTCCTTTGTATTCACAAACTGGTCTGTGGTTTTCTTTTTATTATTATTTTTTTATTCAAGATGGAGTTTCACTTTTGTTGCCCAGGCTGGAGTGCAGTGGCGCAATGTCACCTCACTGCAACCTCCACCTCTCAGGTTCAAACAATTATCCTGCCTCAGCCTCCCGCGTAGCTGGGACTACAGGCGCTCACCACACCCAGCTAATTTTTTGTATTTTTAGTAGATATGAAGTTTCACCATGTAGTCCAGGCTGGTCTCGAACTCCTGACCTCAAGTGATTCACCTGCCTCGGCCTCTCAAAGTGCTGGGAGCCCCTACACCCCTTTGGTTTTGGTTTTAATATTGCCATGATTGCCCTCTTGGTATCACGAGTATGCTAGCCTCTAAAATGGATGAAGGACTTTCATCCCAATTAACAATGGAATTCCTAGTCCTTGAATTTATTATAAAACTCACCTGTAAATACCAGACTCTAGGAGGTAGATTCTTAATACCTTTACACTTTGTGGTTTTCTACATCTTCTTGAAAGTAGCTGTGACTATGTTCTCTTTTCTATTCCCACTGGTGAGTACCGTGTGTCCTATTAAAAAAAAAAAAAAAAACAGGACTTCCTAGTGGTCTATTCTTATTCCTGTTTCCAAAGAACCAACATCTGGTTGCATTTTTCAATTTTCCTGAGAGATTCCCCCCCTTATCTCTTAGATGCTAAGTTCACTTATTTTCATTTCTTATGCAATAATAAAAGCTTTAAGGCTATGAAATTTCCTCTGAATGTGGCTTAAGCTGCATCATCTTGTTTATGTTACATAATGTTCTCATTTTCCTTTGTATCTAAATAGACGTTACTTTTAGCTTGGTTTTGTCTGCCTTGAGTTATTTTGAAGAGTTTTCTTTTTTTTATTCTCAAGTGGTTCATTTTTGTGTGATTTTTTACTATTATTAATTTTTAAACTTTTTTGAGACAGGGCCTTACCCTGTAGCCCAAGCTGGAGTGCAGTGGTGCGATCATGGCTCACTGCAGCCTCAACCTCACCAGGCTCAAGTGATCCTCCCACCTCAGCCTCCTGAGTAACTGGGACTGTAGGTGTGTACCGCCATACCCAGTTAATTTTTTTTTTTTTTTTTGTAGAGATGTGGTTTTGTCATGTTGCCCAGGCTGTTTTGCGTGATTTTTAAAAAATCTTGGCCCGGTGCAGTGGCTCACGCCTGTAATCCCAGCACTTGGGAGGCCGAGGAGGGTGGATCACCTGAGGTCAGGAGTTCGAGACCAGCCTGACCAACATGGAGAAACTCCGTCACTACTAAAAATACAAAATTAGCTGGGCATGGTGGTGGGTGGCTGAGGCCAGAGAATCGCTTGAACCCTGGAGGTGGAGGTTTTCGTGAGCCGAGATTGCGCCATTGCACTCTAGCTTGGGAAACGAGAGTGGAACTCTGTCTCAAAAAAAGTCTTTATTAAGTTGTGATTTTCTTACATTCAATCTAAAGCCTCTTTCATCCTGCCACAAGCCCTTTTCTGGGTGTGTGTGGCCTGCACTCCGCTGGCAGCCTGCAGGCTTTCATCTGGCTTCCCACGAGTGCCCACCCTGCCTGGCCACGTGTGGGGTGCTCTCCCCAGGCTGTGTCCAAACCACTCACCTTCCCCGTCTGCCGCTGTCCATCAGGCTAGACTTTGCACCCACTGTGGACACCTGCATCCCAGGGACGCTTGGTGGACGCCCCAAACCCACCTGCTCCAAACCAAATGCACTTCGTGCTGCCTGTCACTAGCTGTGCCCCCTCCTGGTCCTGTTGGGCCCACACGTGCGGGCCCAGAGTGACGTCACTGGTTTGTGGCTGCGTCCCAAGCTTCATCTGAGGATGGTGAGGTCTCAGCTTCCCAAAACTGAAGAAGCGAAGTCTGGTATTTTTGCAGGGAAATCTTGCCTCCGTCTTGTTCTGCCTTGTCCCTCAGCCGATGGAGCTCCCCTGCACTCCGTATCAGTCAGAATAGACCCGATGGTGCCACGTAACGAGCAGCAGCAGATATATCCGCGGCAGCTCCTCTTCCGTGCATGCCTGTTGTCCATCCTGGGCTGGCGTGGGAGCACGGCAGGGATGCTCCTCCCATCAAAGCCCCCATCTTGTGACCCCCGTTCCCTGGAGGCTTCAGGCTATTGCAGCAGAGAAAGAGCAGCTGGCAGGAAGTGCGGCAGCCATCTGCACAGATACTGCTGGTCTCCACAGTTGTGTGGCCTAACTTGGGGGTGAAGGTGGGAAACTGGAAAACCCACCTGCACAAGAGGACCAGCAGCCCCCCACCCTGCCCTTCCTAGTGTTACCCTCACAGGACTCCAAGACCCCGAGTGCTGCCCCTCACAGCCCTCAGGAGACCCCACCGCCCAGCCTGGTGGCTGATCTCAGGTCCTTAGAATGCCGTGCTCCCTGTTCACACCAAACCCCAGAGTGTGGCCTAGGGTGTACTGACTCCCTTTTATTTATTTACTTATGGAGATGGAGTCCCAGGCTGGAGTGCTGTGGTGCAATCTTAGCTCACTGCAACCTCCGCCTCCTGGTATAAGCAATTCTCCTGCCTCAGCCTCCCGAGAAGCTGGCGTGCACCACCACGTCCAGCTAATTTTGGGCGTGTTTTGGCAAAGTCAGGTGGCACACACTGTAATCCCAGCTACTTGGGAGGCTGAGGCAGGAGAATTATTTTTGTATTTTTAATAGAGATGGGGCTTTACCCGTTAGCCAGGCTGGTCTCGAACTCCCAACCTCAAATGATCCACCCACCTTGGCCTTCCAGAGTGCTGGGATTACAGGTGTGCGCCACCACACCCATCCTGCTGGCTCCCTTTTAAAAATGACTCTGTCCCTGCGCCTTCACTGATCTGTGTCCCTTCGGAGTCCTGGGGGTGGTTCTGTGGGGGAGAGCTTGGGGAAGACTGGCACTGGCTTCTGCCTCATCTGTGAGCGCTAGGCCTTCCCCGACCCCCGGCCGTGCTGCCTGCTGGCCCTGGACAAAGCTAGTGCAGGTCTCGGGGCCAGGCTGCGGCCCTGCCCCTGGGCTCAGGAGCTGCACAGTGGCCGTGCAGGCTGGGCTGACTGGTGGCCTCTTGCAGACATAGTGTGCATGGACCGTGTGGAGGAGATCCTCAAGCTGGTGGCTGCAGAGCACCCTCCTTCCAGGGACAACAAGTGGGTGGTCCAGAAGTACATCGAGACACCAATGCTCATCTACGACACCAAGTTTGACATCAGGCAGTGGTTCCTCGTCACAGACTGGAACCCCCTGACCATCTGGTTCTACAAGGAGAGTTACCTGCGGTTCTCAACACAGCGCTTCTCCCTGGACAAGCTGGACAGGTCAGTGCAGAGGACGAGCTGGACACCTCGGGCCAGGAAATGGGCTGCTGCCCTCACTCCTGGAGCCGTTGCAGTGAGAAGCAGCCCCAGCAGGGCCCCCTCACTGCCACCTGCCACCACGAGAGGCACAGGTGGGGAAACTGAGGCTTGGGAGGCTGATTACCTCCCTCTGGACAGGCTCAGGCCCACCAGCCTTCAAAGCCAGCGCCCTACACCCCACGCTCTGTGCATCTTCCTTGGAAAATCTTAAAAGGCACCATTTTGCCTGTGCCTGCGGGTATCGGAATCGTGTGGGCAGCACCTGGACCCCAGTGCAGGGGAAGTGATGTGTGGGGTGCCTGGCGGAGGCTCAGACATCCGTGAGCCCAGGGTGGAGAGACCCCTGCCTCACCCAGTCCCTCATGGGCAGGATGGCAAGAGCCCGTGGTGTCCTCGGGAGCATACTGTCCACACGGCAATGTCTGCCAGCCTCTGCGCCAAGGCTTCCTTTGACTGTTGTGTGACCCTCGCTTGGTGTGAGGGGCTGGGGGACCTGATGGCTGGGCAGGAGTGGGGGCTGCTTTACAAGGGAGTGAGAATGCAGGGAGGCCTGAGAGTCACTTAACAGAGACCTTGCAGGGGGTTCAACTCTGGCCCAGGCTGGGGGCTGCTGTCATGCTGGGTGTTGCACTGGAAGTCACACCCAGAAGAGGGCCTGGGAGGAGCCGGCCTGGGGCCTCGACTCTCACCCGCCCGCTGCCTCTGGTCAAGTGGGCCTGGAGGGGGTTCAGGAACTCACCTGTGAAAAAATAGCTCCTGTGCGGTGGGAAGCCAGGGCCCCTTCCAGCCTCTGTCCCCAGGCCTCCAGCCGAGAGCCGTGTGCCGTGTGCCATGTGCCATGTGCCTGGCCAATCTCAGGGCCTCTCTGAGCCACTTCTCCATCTGGGACATAAACATGCATCCCAGTGATGGGAGGGTCCCTGACATCGGGTCAGATACGTACTGACAAAAATTAAAGACGGGGCTAAACGTTAGCCCTGCAGGTCTGAGCCCTGATGAGCTATTTTTGCCAAAACGCTCTTCGACATGCCTGTATCTTTTTTCTTTTCATCCACTTCCCAGTGGAAATATAACTTACATACAGTCATGGGTGGTCTCGCCCCCCCGCCACGAACAAGGTGGAAAATTCCTGGCCCAACACGCCTGCAACGGAAGTGAAAATGCTTTTCACGTACATACAGCATAGTGCAATCTCCTAAACCATGTTAGTGGTTTTAACTCCTGTTGAGAAATAGGGCAAGAGTATAACTAAATTACTGACAATTTTAGGTAGGTGACTGTTTCTCACCCTGTGTCACCAGCGTCCCTCTGGCCACATGCAGATGGGGAAACTGAGGCGCAGGGAGGCTCTTACTTGCCAGCAGCACCTAGTTGGGGGCCCTGGGCTGGTGGGCATCTGCCCTGCCCCCAAGTGCATTCCATGGCATCTGCCCACTGGACTGAGGGTTGTTTGTCCTGGGGTGTGTCAGCTGGGGAGCCAGGAGAGTCCCCCCAGCCGGCCTGGGCTCCTCTGTCAGGGCGTGGGAGTCCTTGGGGACGAGGTTCCCTAGAGCCAGCTGAGTGGGCACAGCACGGCTGGGAGGACCCGCCTTGGGCGCCTTCCTGGGCTGGAGGCTGAGCACCTGCCCCTCGACCCCCGCCCCCCACCCCACGCAGCGCCATCCACTTGTGCAACAACGCCGTCCAGAAGCACCTGAAGAACGACGTGGGCCGCAGCCCTCTGCTGCCAGCACACAACATGTGGACCAGCGCCAGGTTCCAGGAGTACCTGCAGCGCCGGGGCCGCGGCGCCACGTGGGGCAGCGTCATCTACCCGTCCATGAAGGCGGCCATCGCCCACGTCATGAAGGTGGCGCAGGATCACGTGGAGCCTCGTAAGAACAGCTTTGAGCTCTACGGGGCCGACTTCGTGCTTGGGAGGGACTTCAGGCCCTGGCTGATCGAGATCAACTCCAGCCCCACCATGCACCCGTCCACGCCCGTCACGGCCCAGCTGTGCGCGAAGGTGCAGGAGGACACCATCAAGGTGGCTGTGGACCGCAGCTGTGACATCGGCAACTTCGAGCTCCTGTGGAGGCAGGTGAGCCTTGCCCGCCCCTGCCCGGGTGGTGGGTGCCATCCTCTGGGGGGTTTGGTGGCAGCCCCCCGTGTGGATGCTTTGCCACCTGGTTACTCAGCAAGGGTGGAGCCGCAGGCCGCCAGCCCCAGAGGGTCCATGGAGGATGCCAATCCCGCTCCATGACTCCTGCTCCGTGACCCAGGCCTGCCCTGCCCCCCCGTGGGACTTGGTGCCTCATTGGCACTGAGGAAGGGGCTGCTACAGGCGTCTGGGCGTGCGGGGCGGCCCTGCTCGCTTGGCCCAGAGCTCTGTCCAGTTTTCCTCCCTCGTTCCCAGCCCCACCCAGCCCTGACTGATGTTTGAGGTGGGGACTCCATGCCAGCAGCCTCCAGGCCCACCGTTCTGCTCCTTCACTTTGGCCTGCAGTGTCTTCCACTCCGAGGGTCTTTTGGGGGCCTCCTTCTCCCCTTGGGACCTTCCTAGGGGGTGAGGCCTGTGCCTGGAGACGTGCTGGAGCCATCGGGAAGTGTGGCCGATGCCTCTCTCTTGAGGCCTCTTTGTGGCTAAACTGGAGAAAAGTGCAGCCCAGTCCTTGGGTGTGGGGCCCCCTGGATCGCCCCTCAAGCCTCAGGAAGCCTGGGCTCTCCACAGGCTCTACAGAGCCTGGGAGCTTCCTGAGGGTCTGCAGGGGACCCCAGGTGTTCACTCCTGAGTCGGGCGGGGGTCTGTGCCCCAACCAACCCTTCCTGCACAGACTCCACCATCCCGGCCACATCCCAGCATCCCTAACCTGTGCCTTCCCCTCAGCCTGCGGTCGAGCTGCCCCCATTCAGCGGGTCTGACCTCTGCGTGGCGGGCATCGGTGTGAGGAGGGCAAGGAGGCAGGTGCTGCCCGTCTGCAACCTCAAAGCCTCAGCCTCGCTGTGGGACGCACAGCCGCTGAAGGCACAGTGCCCCCTCGCCACGCTGGACCCCACCCAGGGACCCACACGACTGGCTCTCCAGCGAGACCTGGGACTGAAAGATGAGAAGGGGCTCCCCGTGGCCTTGCTGGCACCCCTAAAAAGGCCAGCCGAGAGCGGCAGAGCCGCGCAGCCCACCCGCACCAAGGCTGCCGGGAAGGCGGAGCTCCCTGCCTGCCTTTGCCGCCACGTGGACAGTCAGGCCCTGAACACCGGTGACCCCGAAGCACAGCCTACCAGATACTCGGATCCAAACCTGTTTAATGTGCACCCCCTGGTGCCTGTGCTGCAGGGCCTGAAGACAGAGGAGGGTGCCCTGCGTCCGCCACCCGGAGCCCCAGGTAATGTGGGGGCCGTCTGCTCCATCCCCAACCCTCCCTCACCAGCAGCCGCTGCGCCCTCCAGGACAGGGCACAGAGCAGGCTTCGATGCTGGGGCATGGGTGTCCCCTGACGGAGGGTTTGGGGCATGCGGCACCTGTCCCAGCCCCGCATGGGGGTCTGGGGGGGAGTGGGAGTGCTGGCCAGATGGATAGTGGGGTCCCCTCTGTAGAGCCTGGAGGGTGATGCCTTTCTCAATACCTCTGGGGTGTGGTGCGGGTCGGGAGGATTTGAGTTCAGCCCTTGAACCGCGCCATGGACAGCACAAACTCCCTGGCTGAGCGAGGTGATGAAAGTGACCGCTGAGCTTTTGCGTCTGGTTTTCCGAAGGCTCTGAGGGGCTGAGGTTACAGGTGGAGCCACCACGCCTGGCTCCTGTCGGGCTCTTCTGAGCCCTGGCTAAACCTTCAGAATCAAGGGGCTGCCACCGGCTGCTCTTGGCCTCAGAGTAGCTGAGAAGGATGTGGGGCTGGGACGCGGCTGGCCAGCAGGCAGCTTCACCTGTTCCTCCCGCTCGAGGGTCCTTATGAGGGCGTGCGGGGGTCTCTACGAGGGCGGTGGGGTCTCTACGAGGCATGGTGGGGTCTCTACGAGGGCATGGTGGGGTCTTTAGGAAGGTGTGCT